TTTAAAATAAAAGGCCACATCATAAATTAAATGTGATACTTAATTTTTATTTTCTCTCCACTCGAGCAGCATGTTTTCCTCTAGGTGATTATTAAAATAATGATTCACCTCCCCAGCTGCTGTGTACTGGCAGGTTTTTGTTTAGGCAGAGGAGCAGCATGAGTTGGGAGATTGGTGGGTCCCAGACAGGAAGAATCCAGTTGACTCTTGGAACAGAGATTAAGGGTTGGGGTTTTTTTTAATTCAATATGTGAAAATGCAGAATGAGAAAGAGCTGATGCCCTTGAGCTTAATTGTAACTGAGCATCTCCTGTGATTGAATCACAGAATGGTTTGGGTTGGAAAGGACCTTAAAGCCCGTTTCATTCCACCCCCTGCCATGGGCAGGGACACCTTCCACTGTCCCAGGCTGCTCCAAGCCCTGTCCAACCTGGCCTTGGACACTTCTAGGGATCCAGGGGCAGCCACAGCTTCTCTGGGCACCCTGTGCCAGGGTCTCAGCACCATCTGAGTAAAAAAAAAAAAAAAATTTTTTTCTATCTTCTTTCAGCTTAAAAGTGTTCCCCTTCAAGAGCAAAGACAGTTCTCAAAACACCAGTTCTCATAACTACTGAGCTTGGTGTCTCTCTCATTATCACTGCTTTAGTATGGGAGCAGGGAATATGCTTGGCAGTGAAAATGGGAATGCTGTGCCCTCTGGTCCCCTTTAATGAGGATGGATGATTTCCTTCATGAAGTTTCTTTAGCAACTGCAGAAAACACGTTGATAACTAATTTTTGATGTTCAAAGACTTGACTGGTTGAGTGCAGGTGCCTGCTGGAGGGTGAACTCCAGGCCTGATTCCACTGCTTACAGAGAGGTGTCCAAGGCTGTTGGGGGTATTTGGGGGAAATAGGGTTGTGGGGAAAGTCACAGGTTGTAGGGCAGACCCCTACTTAAAAAAAGTCCTCCAGGATAACCCAAGGTGTCTCAAGGTGCTACCTGACTAAAAGGAAGTAGTTAAACTGCATTCCTCTGCTATAGACAGCTCAATTAAAATACTTGAATTGGGACCTGAATCCAGATTCAAAGCAGAAATATTTGGATTTCTAGGGGAGATGTCAGAGCAGGAATGGCAGCTCTGTGCTACCTGGGAGGCCAGATCAGAACCATTCTGGTCTCAGGCTGTCCCATCCTCTGAAATCTCCAAAAGTTCCGTGCTTTGGCTACAAAAGCAACTCTAGGATGGTACTGATGGTTTGAAGGAAAACAGCAGAACTCTAATTGAAACCAGTGGATGAAGGGAAGTGTTAAATAACATTACACTGACCTGTATCCCTCTTTTCTTCCTTACTTGCCTTTTCTGTGCTTACTTGACCTTCCACAACTCAACGCTGGTTTTTTTTTTCCTTTGTTTCACATCTCATCTATTTTCCAATTCTATATTTGTGTACCTAAACATGGAGGTGATGTAGAAGATAAAAGACTCCAAAGTGCCTGTTACCAAGAGTGGAATGGACCCCAGTACAGTGGGTACAATCACTGGGCTGCACCCAGTGCCAACTACAGAAGAGCTAAAAATACACTTCCTGTATTTCACCAGCTCTGCTTGTGCTGTGATGTACCAGAGATAAAATTTCTGTGTAAGCAAGGAAGGTAGAAAAGCTTCCTGAGCTCTGCACTGAGACCTCTGCTGGCTTCACACCACAAGACACTCTTTGAGCCACACACTGATTGATGATGATCTGCTGGCTGCAGGTGATGTGGCATCCCTGGAGGGAGGGAGCAGGTAAGGTCCCAGCTGGGATCTCTAATGTGGGTTTTAGATGTCTAAGGTACAAAGATAATTGCACAATTTCAACTGCCAGGACCCACTCTGTGGAGCTGTGCTGTCAGATGGGGACTTTTGATGACACCTTTGTACTGCAAGAGTGCCTTGTAACAACTGGGCAAAGTTGTCTTTCCTTTCAGCACAGGCTGCAAAGAGCGTGGTGGGGTGCAGGACAGACCTTGGTTTTCTCTTCTGAAAGCTGAGGAGCTGTGAGATCAACCTTGGAGTCTTTGCAGGAGTGCTGAAATCAGGGCTGTCACTGACAGGTGACTCCCACTCATCCTGACTTGGTGGATGCCAACAAGCAGGAATCCATACATCCATCAGGTGAGACAGCAAGACTGAGAAAGGAGCACTTGGGCGCTGGGGACTCCCAAAACTGGAGTTGAAGCAGGTGGTGTGGGAGGTCAGACCCTGATGTTTGCTGGTGCCATGGTCCTGCAGCAGTGCTGTGATCCCACAGGGCTCTAGAACAGGATTGAGCCTTCAGCAAATAACCAAACCTGTCAAGCCCCACCTATTATGCCATAAAGAGACCACTTTATGAAGGAGGGGAGAGAAAAAAAGAGAAATAAGGCGGAAATGGAGGTGCCAGGTTCAGCTAAGGCAAAGGAACATCTCTGTGGGTACCTGGGCTCCTGCTCATTTCTGCGTGGGTGCTTGGCTTTCAGCCCTCCCAGGCTGATATCTCTCAATCACTGTCACCACAGGAAAGCATTTGCTGCTTCCCACGTCACTCTTCACACCCCACAGGCACAGCTGGGACACAGAGCGAGCACGCTTGTGGTGGATTGCACCCACCTCCCCCCTCTCCCTGCCCCATCCTCAATGGGTTCATTGGGTTTTCAAGCTGAAGGTGCCCTGCAGAAAGGAGCAGGTGCTTCTCCTTGTGGTTTGCATCAAAAGCTTCACACTGATCCTAATGCTGTGCCTGCTCTAGCAGTTACTCAACGAGTTCCTTCACAAGTCATGCTTGTGGTTCTATGGGAGCACAGTTGGAGTGCAGAGAGCCCTCCTTCTGAACAGAGAGATGTTAAAACCTGTTTCTCTTCAGTGACTTAACCACAAGAGGTGAACCAGCACCCTCCTTCCTCAGTCTATGCTCTTGGGTTGTCCCTGCATTGGTGTCAAGACCAAACTGCTGTGCTGCAGCAAAGGGAACATCCCTAAAAGTCCTTCAGGGATACTGCCAGTCTTCAAACACTTGGAAATGCAGTCTCTAGTCTGGATCAGGCTGGCCAGACTCCATCAGAGTCATGGACACACTCAGGCCCTCACAGGACTTGGCTGACCCTTGTTTGGGTGTCAAAGGAAGATGTCCTAAGTCACCCTCTTTTAATAAAAACCTCTGCACATCTCCCCTGCAAGCCCTCAGAGATACCAGACCCCATTCAGAGCTGTCACCTTCTGGTAGTAAAAAGAAACATTTCACTCTCTCCCTTGGTACCTCTGCACAGCACCCATCCTTGATTTAGATATTGCCCTGTGGTTGTTCAAGTGCTTGCTGCTGCTGTGTATTTATGGGTCAAAATTGCCCCGGGGAATGTTCCCCAGACAGCACAGAGCCATTTTAATGGCTTTTCTAAGCACCTCTGTTCTTTGTCCCTATTTTATCACTTTAATGCCCATTTGCCAATTATACACAACATTTTATTAAACTGTACAAAGAGCACTGGCATTAAAAAAATTCATGTTAACTAAATTCATGTTCTAATTAAACATGATGACCAGCTCAACAAACTGCAAGCACAGCTGCCCCCTCCTGCATTTCATACAGCACAAACCAGGATTTCATCAGAGGCACTGGACTGAAACCTTTCTCAGGGTGTTCTGCTCTTCTTGTTGACTTCAGGCACTTCAGCCCTTGCTCCTGCTGGATTCTGTACCTGCAGTCACTACCAGTGATATCCCAGCACTGCCTGCAAGGCTGCATTCATCCTGTTGGGAGATCCAAACTGACAGCCTGGATCAGCAGAACCAGGAATGCACCTCTGAAGGGAACCTGATTTTGGGATAACTCACCTTCTAGAGCTTTTCTTCTCCATGGACTGGAGGCTGATGCAACAAAGCTCCAAATGTATGTTCTTCAAATAGATCCCAACACCAACATGAGTGACTCCCTAAGCCCAGGTTGTTACAAAATCTTCTTTTTAGGGTCTGACTTGATTTTGACCCAGCTTTGCAGGGGTATCTCAGTGACAAGCATTTACTGGATGGTTTCACAAATCTCCAACCTCAGAAAACAGTGCACCTTTATTTAAAAGGATGCCATGATGAAAGGATCACAGAAAAGACTCTTTTTTTTTAAACCCACCCACATTCCCACAGACTGCAAAGGGACAGAACACACAGCAAAATGTCACAAGGTGGCCTCCTGCCCCATGACCATCGTGTGCAGCTCATTGACCTGTGCTCAAGAGCTGGGACAGCATTTAGAGAAATAGAAAGTAAATCAGCCTTTGCAGAACCAGTTAGTACCTTTCAAGTGAAATACCCCAATTCTGTGACTGGAAGGCCACTTTTACAATGCTTAAACAATGGTTTGAGGAAATGTTGCATTTTTCTCATGTGGTTTTAGGTTAAAATGTCAGAAATCTCCATTGAGGTCTTGCCCCGAGTCTGGTGTGTCAGAAGACACTTAAAGCTTTAGAACAGGGTTCTTGAAACATTCTGTAACTTCCCATCCTTCCTGCTCAGGCACTAAGTGTAAACCTCTGGTTTTCTGTACCAATCTTGGCACTCCCTTTGGTAATGATCCATTGAGATGTGCAGATGGTGGAATGGGCACCTGAAAAAAGTATCTTTGTCCCATGGACAAAAATTGAGTCCTAACACTTGTGAACAGCATTTTTAAAGGGTGTAGGGAGCAAATTATTTTTTCAAAGCTGTGCACACTTTGGCAATTCTGCACACATACAAGTGGAGGTTACGAAAGCATCCAACCTGAGTCTTCCCTGATACCCTCAGGCCTTGAGCAAACCACTTTTCCTTCAGAAGAAGGTGGGTCTGGATCAGAGTTGCAGAAATGGGCACTGACATCACCAGAAGCTCAAATATACTCATTTTTCCTTACAGAGAGACCCGTTGGCTCTGTGTACAAGTAGTGGGGAACAGGTTTTGGCACCTCCTCATTTTCAGATGCTTTCAACTTCAAGAACATTGGGAAGAGAGAGAAGAGAGACCAAAAGATACCACAAAGAAATTTTATCATCAATGAAGTGTGGGCTGGCATCTGCTATGGACTGGAAAAGGTCAGAAGCCTCCAGGCATGGTACAAACTTTCACTGAGGTGTTTTCTTTCTTGAGGGGTCTTGATAAAAAACAACCATGCACAGTCTTCAGCTGACAAAGTGCTACTCAAATCATTACAGAGAATTCCTTCAGTAAGGCAGATCTCAGGAAAATATTTTCTCCATTTTAGGGTTCACAAAAGAGAAGTTGCTGAACATATTTTGGTCCATGCTGTTAATCAGTGCTCTGTCAGCACAGGACAGTCTGGGTTTTTCATTTAGGAATTCCTTGTCGAAGTTGCTACAGTCACTTGGAGATTTCTTCAAGAAAAGGAAAAAAAAAATTGATGTCAAACCACTAATAGTCAGATCTTTATTACCACAGTACTGGCCCTATCAGGCAGCTTCCTATGGGCTCAGCTCAACCTTTAATTGGGAGCCAGTAAATATAAATATTATAAAGGAGGCACTGAGCCTGTGATCCAGGAATTCTTCCAGGCAGGGATGTTACAGCTTTGTAACATGGCAGACTGAACTCATCAATTGTATAACAGTTGTGGAAGACTGTAGAATGAAAGTATGATGTGCTTGTCAAATTAAATTACGTTATTATTATTAATGGGACTTTAATAATTTAACAAGACTGTTATTAATAGTCAGAATTATTCTGATGTAGCCAAACACTTGGTTCCTGAACTGTTTTACCTTCTGCAGAGCAATGAAAGATAATTCCTTCAGAATGGCTGCAGTTCTGTGGTGAAGGGAAGGTGTTACCCTGCTGCAGTAACTGAGAAAGCAGTGAGTAATTTGAGGTTTCTCAGGTGTGGGCGTGCCAGACCTGGGCTTGCAGCTAAAGTAGTATTGTGAGCATCAGGTCGGGCAGCCAGTAGAAATGCACAGTTCAGAAGACCTGAGATGGGTGGAACTGAAAGAAGATCCATCCTTACCACTCTTGGTTTGAAAGGAGGCTCCATCCTTCTCTCTTCTAAAGCTTCCCAGTTGATTTCCCGGAAAAAGGCGTGCTGGCGGATGTTCCCTCTCGCTCCCAGTCTCCTCTCAGGCTCTCTTACAAAAAGCTGGAATGTTGATCCCATAGGTTAAATTCTCTGATGATAATACAGGCATAAAGCAGGGTAGAATGTGTAATTATCCAGAGTCAGCGCAATGAGAGGAGGCCGTAATGGAGAAAATGTTGGGATTTTTTTCCTAAACAAGGAATTTTACTGATTGGTATTAAAGTGATTACTATCTCTAATCCTGACAGAATGATAGGCTGTTTGGGCAGAAAGGTGGCAGCATGTGCCCCAAAAAGAGATGTTCAACATCTCAGTCTGATGTAACCCTTAGATTGAAGTATTTTTCCCAGGAGTTAACGAGCTTTGCACCTTAGGGACTGCTCTGCAAATAAACTGATCTCTGCTGGTGTCTGTGAGGAGCCACCAGGAGAAGAAAGACACCCAAATCTCCTTATGGGAGAGGTGTGGTTTGATGCCCACAGGAAAGACAGTGACTAAACTAAATCTGCTCCTCTCTACAACAGCTGAAGATAAACAAATTGAAGACAATAATTCTGGCAGAAAGGCTTTCATTTGATGGGCGGTGATTCTTACCTTCACCAAAATGTCCTTTGCATCCTTGTCCAGCCAGCGAGGGTAGAAGGGGTTGTCCATACGGATGGACTGGAAAAGCTCCTCCTCATCTTGGCCATGGAAAGGGGATTGGCCAATGAGCATCTCATACAGCAGGACACCAAAGGACCACCAGTCCACGGAGGTGTTGTACTTCTGCCCCAGCAGTATCTGCCCAGAAACAGGAGGCACAAAGGCAGAAGGAAAATGTCTGACATGAGTTTTTCAACTTCAGGAGGGCGGCCAGACCATGGCCTTGCAACAGCTGCTCTGTCAGAGGTGTTTCCCTGCCACCGTCATATTTTCTGAAAAATCTCTTTGCCCAGGATTTCTCTCCTGGGAAGCTGAGAAGCCTCAGAGAAAAATGAAAACAATATTATCTCATTTGCTTCTCCTGTGTTTTGCTACTTTAGAACGTAGTTTAGAGATTGTTTATCCAACGTGTGAATTGCTTTAACTTATTGGTCAATGACAGCCAAGCTGTGTCAAACTCTAGAAGAGAAAGTCACGAGTTTTGATTAATATCTTTCTAACTTTCTGTATTCTTCAGTATAGTTTTAGTATAGTATAATATAATATAATATAATATAATAATAAATTAACCTTATAAAAACATACAGTCAAATTTCATCCTTTCCTCCCTTTCAACGGGGGTCTCAGAAAATACCACACTTCCCCCCTGCCTGCAGCAGGAGTCAGAATTCTGCCAGTGGAAATCTGGAGCAACGAGGCACAGCCACGCCTGGGTGCCAAAACAGCCCCTGGCACTGCAGACAACATGCTGCATGTAATTCTTATGTGACTTGAACAAATCCTTGGCTACCAGAGAGATCTCAAATATAAAAGAGGAGAGAAAGTCATCTTTAGCCTGCTCTCCAAGGGTTCAAATCAGGCTTGTGAAGGCCAAGAAGACAAATGGTCAGGAATCAGCATCTTGGGACTGATTCCAGTGACACAGGCTGAGTTTTAAAATTACAAATGTGGCAGCTTAAAGATACTTCAGGAGTATCAGTCACCTAAAATGGTGTGACTCTACCCCAGCAAAATCTTCCCCAGGAAAAACATGAAAGGGGTTGCTGATCTGTCCTCTTGAGACCAGCTGGGTTTTAGATGGAGGAATGGGAATTTGTCCTCAGTCAGTCCCTTGGATTGTGCCTTTCAGTGTCACCTATAAAGTGACATCCAGCTGGAATGATGACCTCCCCAGGGCCTAAAGGACAATCACCAAGTTCTCAAACTTCCTTTCTGGAGAAGCAAAATTAATCTCACCTGACTTTAGATATCTGTTGTGGAGATATCTAGAGCTGGACCACTTATCACTAGCTCCTTTTATAGCCAAGGAAGGGAATTCACCCAGTTTTAAACATCTAATTAAATATTTACCTGCTGTAAAATACAACCCCTGTTTGTCTCCTCAAAACCTGCTCATACATAGATTTTTACATTGGAGATATCTAAAGGTTCACATGATGACTGTGGTGTGTAGGATTCTTAGCAGAATTTTAGAGCTGTAGAGGGGAAAATTTAATTTTGAGGCACAGTCTTTACTCTTGAGCTCACATATTGGTTGCAATGGGATGCTCTATACCTCATCTGTCTTCAAAGGAGGAGATGCCAAAAGGACAAAAAATAGATTTGAATATATGCTGTAATATATACAATGAGTTCCACTCAGAGACAAAAAAAAAAAAAAAAAAAAAAAGACCCCTTAATATATTTTTTTTTTCTGGATCACAAACAAAATCATCCCAACCTTTTTTTCTGAAAAGAGAAATTATTTTTATAAGGCTCTATCTTTAAAAGTCTAAAGTATCTGTAAAATGAAATTAAAGTGTTTTACGACAGTCAGAAATAAAAAGGTTTATTTTGTTTGAAATTTTCTGGGACAAAAATAAACTCAGTAATTTAATTTCAGGCTGTCTTTTTTCTGGTCAGATTTTTTTGAAATGAAAAAAAATTGCTTGTCTACTGACCCATACCCCCCTTATTTGCATGGCTGTGGCCAAGGTGCTGGGTCTGTAACAAATGACAGTGGCAGCAGCTGCAGTGAAATACTGACAGAGTCCAGTGCTCTTGCCTGTGGCAGGAGAGATGATCCATAAACTCCAGAAATGCTTTCAATTTAGAGATAAAATGTTTTATATGCACTCTTTGAATCCCTAAAATAAACATGGTGTAGAAATAAAACTCTGAGCTATTTCAGTTTTTCTCTTTTCTATAAAATAAAATCAAATCACAGATAATGGATCAACGCTTGGCTATCTTTTTTTTTTAGGAGCAAAAAATAGCTTTTTTTTTTTTTTTTTTCTTAAATAAAGGCATACTGAAGTGGAATAAAAGACAATTGCAGCTTGATTGCAGAGCACATTTACACTCATTCTTAGGCAATAGAAATCCAATTGATTTGAAGAGACCCTTGAGCCAGCAGTGGTGTAACCTCAGCCAGACTCGAGCCCTTAGTGCACAGTGAAGGACCAGTGAATTATAGTAGAGGGAAAAAAAGCCCTAAAGGCTTTGACAACTCTTTGGAAAACACCAATATCCATCATGAAAACACTAAAATTACGAAATGGGATCTTGAAAGGTAAATAAATGGATTCCAAACTGATGTCAGACATGATGCATGGATGACTTGTAGGTTTTTCTCTGAGCTAAAAAGTATTTTCTTTGGCCACCTAATTAGTCAAAGCCTCTCCATAGTAAGATCTATCATTGTGTGAAGTCATCAGGTTAAGGAAAATTTCTCTTTCCTGGAGGGATCTAGTTCAAAACACCTAAATTTTCTAGGGGGGAAAAAAAAGAACAAATTTCTGGTTAAATTTGAAAGAAATAAGGGAAAGGGCACAGTCAGCATTCATCAGGCTGTGTCTGTCCCTCAGTTGTGGGACCTCTTGGAATTTCTTCTGCCATGGCCCAAAAAGAATTTCCATTAAACATTCTCTTTTTTAGTTTAAGCCAAGTTCCACTTGTACCAAAAAATGAATTAGCCAAACGCTTTGCTTTTTTTTTTTTTTAGGAGCAAAAAAAAGGTTTTTTTTTTTTTTTTTCTTAAATAAAGGCATACTGAAGTGGAATAAAAGACAATTGCAGCTTGATTGCAGAGCACATTTACACTCATTCTTAGGCAATAGAAATCCAATTGATTTGAAGAGACCCTTGAGCCAGCAGTGGTGTAACCTCAGCCAGACTCGAGCCTTTAGTGCACAGTGAAGGACCAGTGAATTATAGTAGAGGGAAAAAAAGCCCTAAAGGCTTTGACAACTCTTTGGAAAACACCAATATCCATCATGAAAACACTAAAATTACGAAATGGGATCTTGAAAGGTAAATAAATGGATTCCAAACTGATGTCAGACATGATGCATGGATGACTTGTAGGTTTTTCTCTGAGCTAAAAAGTATTTTCTTTGGCCACCTAATTAGTCAAAGCCTCTCCATAGTAAGATCTATCATTGTGTGAAGTCATCAGGTTAAGGAAAATTTCTCTTTCCTGGAGGGATCTAGTTCAAAACACCTAAATTTTCTAGGGGGGAAAAAAACCCCAAATTTCTGGTTAAATTTGAAAGAAATAAGGGAAAGGGCACAGTCAGCATTCATCAGGCTGTGTCTGTCCCTCAGTTGTGGGACCTCTTGGAATTTCTTCTGCCGTGGCCCAAAAAGAATTTCCATTAAACATTCTCTTTCTTAGTTTAAGCCAAGTTCCACTTGTACCAAAAAATGAATTAGCCATGGTTAGTTTTGGCATGTTTTGGCCCTTTGCACTGCACCTCATGTAATCCTGGTCCATTTTCTTGTAGTCACTAAAATAAGCACTGCCAAACAGCAACACAGGCTCTGAGCCATGCTGAAATCCAGTTTCTGGCCTAGAACTGCTCCAAACCAGGTGATTGCTCTTTGCAACCTCCACCACTGCACAACAGTCGTGTCTGGAGATGTGTTCCCTGTGCCAGAGCACTTGCTGACCTCCCTGTGCCCCACACCTACCTCGGGGGCAATATAGTCAGGAGTCCCACAGAAAGTGCTTGTCTTTGCATCTCCAAACATGTTCTCCTTGCACATCCCGAAGTCAGCAATTTTGATGTGCCCCTCATTGTCCAGGAGGACATTGTCCAGCTTCAAGTCTCTGTGGAGGAAGAGAAGAAAACCCTGTTCTTCAAAGTGTGAAGCACACAAGTTATTTTAGCAGGTTACACTTATTACTCTTGTTCTCTGCCTCTGTGTAGTGCCTCCCTGCTGGAAATACAAAGGAAGGCTGAGGGATAAATGAGGATAAATGCTGCTCTCTTGGGCTTCAGCATCCCTCTTCTGCATTTCTCTTGTTGCAGCACTGATTTATCTTCTGGAGAGGACACAGAATCATGGAATCACAGAATGGTTTGACTTGGAAGGGACCTTAAAGATCCCTCAGTTCCAATCCCCTGCCATGGGCAGGGACACCTCCCACTATCCCAGGGTGCTCCAAGCCTCATCCAGCCTGGCCTTGAACACTTCCAGGGATCACATCATCCAAGACATCTTCTAAAAGCTGTTTCCTTCGAGGATGCACAATAGTGAAGCTAAGAAGGGCTTTGTGCTAGCTGCTGCTTCCGCCCTAACACAACCTGGAGAATGAGAGCAGGTAATTCTCACTCTCTCCTTCCCTGGGAATCTCAATATTCTCTCTGAAGCTGCTGCCAGATCTCCCTCGTAGTGCAGACTCTACAAATGCCACAAGAGGTACGGACCCACGAGCCCTGCAGAGGGTCAGAACAGCCCCAGACATCAGCAGAGCCCCCACCACTGCTGGGCTGCACCATCTGAACCCTAGTGTTCACAAAGCCTTTCACACTCAGCTGCCAGGCTGCTCTCTGAGTTTTCAGGCTCTGAGCTACTCTGGGAAGCAAAGTACCCAGAGAGAGGAAGAAAACAGAAATGGACAGAGAAGGAAATAAAAGCAAACGAGCTGACGAATCATGACCATTGGTGGAGAACAAAGAGGTCCTCAAGTGGGAACTATGAAAGGAGAGAAAGCTTGCAAGGAAGAAAAGAAAAAGGCAGAAAGAAAGGAAAGCTGGCATGGTTTCTATGTTAATTTTCTTAAATTTTACCTAAAGGTTTTGTTTTAACTGATATAATGACCCGGGTAAAATGTTTGGATCAGTGATGCTGCACTTAACTGGGGATGTGGGTAGAATTTGCGTCACCTGGTCTATGAGCACACATATTCCTGCACTGCCTGGTTTGTGCTAGCAATCACTGCTCCTTCTCAGGGCTCCCAAAGCACCCAGACACGTTTGCTTGTACCCACAGCTGAGGGTGTAATTGTTATTTTTCATGCTAATTCACAACCTACACATATTTTGGCCAAAAGGCCAAGTGGATGGGGCTAATGCTGTGGATGGCATCCCTGCCCATGGCGAGGGGTCTGGTGATCTTTAGGGTTCCTTCCAATCCAAACCACTCTGAATCTGTGATTCTGTGATTTTCCACATCTCAGGCAAGAGGCCTAACAACAAGGCTACTGCAGGGACACCCTCCCTCTGACAACTGCTTCACAATGTGGGGTTTTTTCAGAAATGTTCCTCAAAGAAGGTAATTTCTAGTGCTTGATGCTCTTGAGATAATGGCCTGCAATTGCAGGGAAGATGATTCTTCAGAATCCCTCTGTGCAAAGCTGCTTGTCTTGCTTGGGCCAGGTCCCCATCAAGGTGGGGGACACTGTAGTGTTTACTCACTGAATTGTTGTCACAGGGCAGTTCACTGCTGCAAGAATATGGCCCCAGACAAAATGGGAGTCATCAATCAAAGAGAAATACAGAGAAAACCGAGGCATTTGCCTTCCAAGTGGCAGACACTCATATTGTCACAATTTCCAGCTGGAATGACTTATTTTAGTTACAACGTTGAGATCAATCTCGGGCTGCCAGCACTGCTTTTATTCATCTGGTAGATCGAAGCAAAACAAAAAAAAACCATCACCTACAGTTTGCTTTCATTATTTTGATGAGTCTCAAACTCATTGGCTCCAGGGACTGGGGTTTCTGCCAAAAAATACCTCGGCTCATTCATTAAAATTTAAGCCAAAATTTTTCCAAACGTGGGTGCATGAGACAGAACAGCTGGATTCATTATTCTTATGACATTGCAAGAGATGTAACTTCAAAAATTATTTCTATTCACTTTCCTAAGTGCTTAGTTTGCTCTGACAGAGATACTGATGACTCTGTGTTCTCAGCTGACCTCGTTGTCATTGTCTTCAGTGAAAAAGGGAAAAGAGAGGAGGACTGGTTAAACCTTTTCTCTCAACGCTTGATACCCAAAGCAATATCACCAATTCCTGGGAATGAGATATTTCTTCCTATCCACATGGTACCCAGTGCCCAGATGTCCCAATTTTCCCCCAATTTTCCCTCAATTCCCAAGGCTCCAGATTCTAAGCACCCCTCTCCTTTCAGGAGGAAATGAGTCCCAAACCCCAGCTCGGCACTGGCGCAGTGATTCCAAGTAAAAATGTGAATTATGAATAAAACGTCAGCATTAGCAGCCCTGCCATAAAGTCACCATGTCCTGCAGATATTTTTAATCAGATTTTCTGAGAAGACTGACTGAAAATAACAGACGTGGCCAAGTGATTTGGGCACTTCAGAAAATTTTTCCCTTCACTCATGGAGAATAATAATTAGAGCAGGAAAAGTTGCTGAGGGCCCAGAGATGATCTTAGCTTAATGCCACTGATATTGATCTCATGTTTATGCAATCACCATCACTGGTCAATAAAGACTATAAATGGCTCCCACATGAGTACTAGTAAGAATCAAAGCTCGTGTTTTAAAGGGAGAATGGCTTGTGAGCAAGTCATCCACTTTCAGCATTTGCTCTAATGTTCATGCTACATGACAAACACTGAAATAAGCTCATTTTGGGTTCAGCAAACATCGTTGCTGTAGGGAGCTTTCTCATTTATTTGTGACAAGGTATTTGTTTTCTGCTTTTAAAGAAGACTGCAATGTAGTAACTGAATTTTGCCATGAAGTTGAACTTCACCAGAGCTCCCCAGAAATTCAGTTCCTCCTTTTGGCCATGGGAAATCAGACTGTGGCCTAATTTCTGGTAGAACTGGGCACTTCCCATACACAATTTAACTCAGGCTTGATTAAGCTAAAGATGCCTTCTCCTCTCTGCTTACTACAAGAACTTGACAGACAACTCAGATTCATGATGGTGAGACGAACCCCATCTCCCCACTGTGCACAAAATTAATCAAAAATTAAGATATACCACTGTGTCCTTGCTTCTGTTACTTGAGTTGAGCTTGTCACCACTGCCCCAAAGTAACCAGCATAGCAGATGTACCAAATTTCTTGTGTCTGACTTGACCTTAACATACCTTGATATGTTGAAAGCTTAAACAAGGTGCCTACACTGGGAGCTGTGTGAATGGCTCTGTGTAAATGCAAAATGTAAAAAATAAATCCAAATAAATTGTTTTACTGCTAACTAAAATAGAACTGGGTTCTGAAAGAAAGATCACAACTGCCTTTTCTACACTCTTGCTTTAAAATAAAACACCCAAACTATGTAAAAGGGAAATCTGCAGGGAATTGCAGTGCCAGTAAGTACAGCCAAGAAACAGCCTCTCTGCTGCCATTGGTGCTTGCAGGGAAAAGCAGAAAAGGTTTAGCATTTAGCATATTAATTACACTAAAGAGTGAAATTACCTGTATATTATGCCCTTGGAATGGAGGAACTGGAGCCCACAAATTATTTCAGCAGCATAAAACCTGAATGACAGAAGGCACAGGTCAGAACAGGAGCTTCCCAAAGGTTTTTTCAACCACACCCAAAATGGTGGAAAACTTGTCCCCACAAGAGCCAAAATTTCATTAGGTTGCCAGAAGGTTTGGAGTGTCTCCAGAAGGCTTGGGGTGACTGTGTTTTACTGATGGGTGACGTGAGATTCCCAAAAAGCAGGGGGCAGTCTGGGATGGGGAGCACAGACTCCCTGCCCAGATTTATGACCTACTTTTCAAAGAATCCTGGAATTCTGGAATTGTTTAGGCTGGAAAACCCATCTAGCATCGAGTTCAACTGTTGACCCAGCACTGCCAAACCCATCACTAAAAACCACATCCCCAAGTGCCACATCCACACTTCTTGAACACTTCCAGGGACAGCGATCCCACCACTTCCCTGACAGCCTGTTCCAACAACTGATCACACTTTCAGTGAAGACATTTTTTTCTGATTTTGAAAGCTTGTCCATAATATGGGCTATCCAGCAGGCTGGTGGCCTTTCTCTGGAGATTTTTGAGCTTGAAGTTGTTGTTCTCAGCACATTTTTACCCAAAGCACTCCACCACATCCTGCTGCAAAGAGGCAGCATCAGTGTGAAGAATAAAAGTGCTGTCCCAGAAGGGAATGAAACCAGAGGATCATATCCCCCTCCAGTGTGGCACAGCTCTGCTCCCTCAGTCTTCAATGCATTGGCCCTTAATTCTGGACATTCAAATGCATTTGAAAAATATCATCAAACACAGATTTAAAAGACTGTGTAGATTTTTTGTTATTAAATTATTAAATAAAAGTAATTCCTATAGTGGTTTCAATATTGACTTTCAAAATACCTTTTGCTTGCAGAAGGATCAAAAGCACCTTTCATTTATTCTAATTCTTCTATTTACTTTAATCAAAGCTAAATGCATATTTAATTCTCTGCTGGTGTATTAATTTTTTGTTTAAATTTACCTTTTGTGCTTTTGATAGGTTTTCACCCCACCCCCTTGAACTTTAAGGGGAAAAAGGGAAAATCCCATTACTTCTAACAAACAACAGCTTCACCTCTGACCACTGGGCTGGGAACCTCAGCTTAAGCAGGTCCTGCAGCTTGGCTACAGAGTGCTGTAAAGAAGCAAGGTCATGTCTGAGTGAAACCAACTGTGTGGATGGAGTCTAAAAGTCTTCTGTGGGATGGAAAAGAGGATGGGAAGTGACTCACTCCAGTCCCTTCACTGAGCTGGGAGGATGGCCTCTGTGGTTTTGTTGTGTTTGGAGACAGCTGGGATAGAGAGGCTTCCAGCACAAGCATCATCCCCACTCTTCAGCTGGGCAAGGTGAAGAGAGGTCAAATAATCTGCCCAAGATTTCCTCTACAGGGCTGTGGCAGAGCTGGGATTAAAACCAAGTCAGGCCCAAAGGCAGTGATAAATGTCTTACGTTGCTCTGGGAAGGTCGAACTTATGGCAGCTCTGGATGTGGAACATGAGGTCTCCTCCATTGAGGTATTCCATCACAAAAAAGAGGTTTTCCTAGAAAAGGAGACAAGGTGAGAATAAATAAAGGGTGGTGAGGAGCGAGGTAAAAGTTTAAATATTTTTTAAAAAATCAAACTGCACAGAAAGCACTCAAAAAGAGGAAAGAAAGTATTGCTGTGAGGGTTTTGGAAAGAAAGCAGGTCCTTTTTTACAGCCCTCATTTCTCCTCTTGGTTCCCTAAGCCCATACTTGCACTGCCTGCCCTGATTTCTATAAACACCATTAGCAAACATGGCAAAGCCACTTCATAACCAACTGAGGCTGTGGATTTTTACCAGCAGAGCTCCAGGCTCACAGAAAGGGCTCAGTAACTTTACAGTGCCTGTACAGCAGAAGGACAAATGGACAAGCTTCTAGTGGAAAAGGCAAAAATCATGCCCAGCTCTCCTCTGGTCCCCATCCCAGTACAGTATCCATCCTCTTCAAGCTGGTGTCACCTGCATTCCTGCACAGCTTCTGTGGAGGCATTTCACCTGGGTCTGACTTTTTCAAGTCATCAGAGACACCAACCAGACACAGCAATTTGTTTTAAGCACATGCTTGATTTTAAGCCTGAAAGCTGCTTTATGTAACTTGCTGGTGGGGAAAGCAATGAATTCATCATTACTTTCAATATTTCTAGATACCCATTGAGCACCTGCATGTCAGAGAGACCTGGAAAAAGTCGAGTTCATGTCCCCAGCTGCATGCAACCATCAGTTGTTCAACCAGGGCAGTGAAAAACTCTCCTCCTGGTACACAGAAATGATGGAATCTCTCTCTGTCTGAAAGGTCACTGAGGTTTCTTCTCCAATCCTTGATACAGAATCATGGAATCACAGAATGGTTTGGGTGGGAAGGGACTTAAAGACCCCTAAAGTTCCACCTGCCACTAGACCAGGTTGTTCATGTACATGGCACTGATCCCCTCTCAGCTGCAAGAGCCAAGACTCACCACCAGCACCCTGCAGAAACTGGTATGAATTGATCTCTCCCTTCCATGCTGAATTGTCTCTACAAAGCAGAAAGGACACCTTTTTCTGAAGGAAAAGGATTTGCACACTGAGCTATGGTTCCAGTTTAAACTTCTCTTTTGGGAATCTCACCTTTTGTGCATAAATGCAGGAATAAAACAAAATGGATGTGGTATTTTTTCCCCCTCAAAAGCCTCTCTCTGTTCTGTACACACCTGAAGTCAGTCATCTCTAGGCTATGCTATAAAGTTTATGAATATCTTCCTTGTGTTTCCTATTGCCCATTACATTTTTTTCTGGGGGAAAATAGAGTTATTTTCACTTATATTTTTTAACAGTTGAAGGTTTTTATCCATAAGATCTAATGTAAGTATCTCTGGAAGCAAGCCAAGAGCTGGCTACATTAAAAAACCACAAAAGTGCTTGTTCCTTTCAAACAACAGCTGTCTGCTCTAATTTGTGCAATTTCTTTAGCCAGATCCTCTTAATTACAGCACTCTCATTTAAATGGACTCACTGGAAACCCCACCTGTCATCCAACAAGCTCAAAGCCAGATCTGGCCTCCTGGGGAAAGAATACAAATTCCATCACTAAACCAAATGGGTGCAGGTTTTCAGTGTTTCTTGCACCTGCAGGGGGCTGTGCACATAAATGAGTTCCAGCAAGTAAAAAGGCCAGAGGAAGGTGGGAAATTTAGTGAAGAAATGTATAAATCCTGGAAGCAACGTGAGCTCAGCAGCCCATTCAGGAAAATACTTGAACAGATGCTCTTTGGGAAGGTACACAGGGAGGTGATGGGGTTTAGCCAACAACACACCAGCAGCCACATGTGTCCTGCTGGGACTGAAGAAACCTCATGGGTCTTGAAATGGGCCAGACTCAGCTTTAGTAGGCTGGGAAGAAGAAAACCCCTCAGTTCCCCTGTAAAGTCCACTGATTTTGGCTACACCTCATCACACATCTCTAACTGTAACCTGAAATCCATGTTTATCCAGCAGAATGAACGGTCACGCTCTGCTTGTTCATGAACTTGAGCAATCATCTCATGTAGCTGTTTAACTGAACCCAGGGACTCTGGCTTGAAACTGGGGACTTTGGCAGCAGATTTCCCTTCCTTGAGGGAAGAAAAGGTGGAGCAACCCCTTGGATTAATTTACATCCACATATACAAACCCTGTTGCTCAACTTCCTTAAGCTATGGAGCTGGAGGACACAAACTTTACTTTGTTTGTGCTTACTTAGGAATGTTTAGTACTAAAGTTTATGATATATCAGGTGCTATAGAGTAGAGCAAAAACCCTGTTGAAAAGACAGACAGGATCACTCTGACTTTCCTGCTGTGGGGCTTGGAAGTTCCCCTTGCTTCTTAAGAAGTCTGGAATAGCTTGTGGAGGAGAACTGGTTGAGATCAGCCCTGCGTCATTATGAGTGGTGAAGTGCAACCAAGAAAGGCAAAGTGCAACAACTTATGCAGTCAGCTTCCTAGGTCTGAGATCTACAGAGCCACAGAACACATTAAATTTGGGAAGTGGCAAAACCCATTCTTGAAACCACTGAAAATTGAAGAGAGTGCTGGAGGTCAAAGGGTCGGAGTGGCGCGAAGGATGTTCTTGCACACAGGCTCCAGCTTCACTTCCTCTCGTCCTGGGAAAGTTAGCTGATGGCTCCTGCCGGCTGCTGGGAGGCTCTGGAGCCTGTCAGCACTTGGAGCAGGCAAGGGGGGTTTATCTGGTTGAAAATGTCCCTGCTCACTGCAGGCAGCCGGACTAGATGACCTTTAAAGTTCCTTTCTAACCCAAACCATTCTCTGATTCTCAAGGCTCTGCCATGCCCGTATCCCCTGCAGTGGTCCTGCCTGTGGATGTTGAGCAAGCAAGCAGGGATGTTGTTCCTCAGTGGTGAGACCCACACAGCTCTGCAGCAGCTTAGAAAGAGTGCTCTGCCCCTGTGCCCTGCAGGCAGCTGACCACCTGTGGGAGCATCCCTGGGCAGCAAATGCTCAAGCCTAACTTTTGGTTATGGTTCTGGACTCACACAACAGAAAAAGTTTGGTGTCTTGGCAGACCTCAGGACCATCTTTTGTGACTACAGAGCTCAAGGAGGATTGTAAAGGCCCTTCCTGCACTCAGGGATGGACACTGCACCAGGGTACTTATAAAATCATAGGAATTCTGAGCTGGAAGGGACCAACAAGGATCATCAAAGTCCAACTCCTGGTCCTGCACAGGACACCCCTGAGAATCACACCATGTGCCTGGGAGCGTTGTCCAAACACTTCCTGATGTATTTAACACCAGTTGTCTTAAGAATATCCATGTATCAGCCATTCCCTACTTCTAGACCATCTTCCAGGGGCTTTCTCCATTACAACACTGGATCAGGACAAACCCTTCTGGAGGTGGGAGGTGAAATGCTGCTCCTACAGCAGACAGAGCCCTCCAACACGAGGTTGTACAGCACACAGACATGGCAGCAGTGTCCTGCACAAAATAACACAGCTCCTGCACACAAAATGAAACTGTTCCCCAGCCCAGCCAGTCCTGCCAGGTGCTGAAAGCCTGGATTACTGCAGGAACTCACTTTCCTGCCCTTTCAATCCCTCAGTGCCTTGTGCTGAGCTGAGCTCCTCCCCACAGAGCCACCTGCTCCCTCTGCCTCTCCAGGACACGGCAGGGATGGAGTTAAACCAACTGCTCCTGCTCTGCTGCTGTGAGAATGAATAGGCATTATCAGAGATGCTTTCAACTTTATAAACAATGAGTATAAAGCAGGCAGCATTTAAATTGATCTTTTGAAGGTACATCCTTTAACAGGCTCTTAAAATCCTTTAACCAGCTGGAAGCCCTCCAGAGCACTTTTCTGCAGAGATTTTCAGATTTTGTTTTCTTTGCATTTTGAAAGCACTTGCATACATAAAAATACACAATTTAACACCATTTACTGAGGAGCAAAAATTCTTCTTCTCAGGGCTTCCAGGAGGATGAATGTCAGAATAATTAATGCTGCAGGACAGTGTGGCTTTAGCTGTGTTTAGATCAGTTACCCTAATGAATGTCTCCACATGGAGAAGGCTCCAGATTAAGTGACCTAATCCTGCTGCATTCCCATTGAACTAGGCTGTCCCTGGCCAAGAGAAAGGCTGGACATGATGCAATTCCTGCAGCTGGTCTCACCTTTTCATGCAGCTCAGCACAGTCTGGGTGCAGATCCACACCTTGGATCTATTTTATTTCATGGGATAGTTGGCAGCCAAAACACCACATCACTGAGTTCTGCAATCCCATCAGAGCATCCCATCCAGTGGGAAAGAGGGCAATGCAGCCCTCACAGTGTCTGCTGTCATAAGGAACAGTTAACACAGGGTTACTCCTTCCTAGGAGGTGGCTGCAGGCAATCACCTGCACTGGAATTTGCATCAGAGCAATCCAAACTTTAATTCTGTTCTCTGGTTTAAATACTTTCCCCCCCTCTCTTGTGCAATATCAGCCTATCTTCTGGAGATGGCAGCATTTCTTACAGCTGCCCAATAATCCAGTCCAGCCCCTGCTCTCGCTGTTTATTCCTTGTTCTAGTCCTTGCACTGTCAGCATTCCTAGCTGCGTGTTGAGCTGCTCATTTGGGATGCTCAGCGTGGCGTCCCCATCTGCTTGGTACAAAGCACAGGGATACATTTATACACATAAATGAAATACGTTTGCAGAGAGGAAGGTGCAGGCTTGGCTTCCACTTGAGCTCTGAGATCCCAAGACTTTTACTCACACTCAGAGCAGACAGAGTCCATCACTCACTGATAAACTGAGGCACTGTCAGCCCATGTCTTGCAAGAGGAAGTGGTTTTCCCTATCAGTGTCCAGCAGAATCTCAGAGAGAGACTAATTTTCTGAAGGCTAGAGAAAGATTTGTGGATTAAAAAAAAAAAAAAAAAAAAAATCACCAGATCAAAAATGTGCAGCCCTCACAGTGTCTGCTGTCATAAGGAACAGTTAACACAGGGTTACTCCTTCCTAGGAGGTGGCTGCAGGCAATCACCTGCACTGGAATTTGCATCAGAGCAATCCAAACTTTAATTCTGTTCTCTGGTTTAAATACTTTCCCCCCCTCTCTTGTGCAATATCAGCCTATCTTCTGGAGATGGCAGCATTTCTTACAGCTGCCCAATAATCCAGTCCAGCCCCTGCTCTCGCTGTTTATTCCTTGTTCTAGTCCTTGCACTGTCAGCATTCCTAGCTGCGTGTTGAGCTGCTCATTTGGGATGCTCAGCGTGGCGTCCCCATCTGCTTGGTACAAAGCACAGGGATACATTTATACACATAAATGAAATACGTTTGCAGAGAGGAAGGTGCAGGCTTGGCTTCCACTTGAGCTCTGAGATCCCAAGACTTTTACTCACACTCAGAGCAGACAGAGTCCATCACTCACTGATAAACTGAGGTACTATCAGCCCATGTCTTGCAAGAGGAAGTGGTTTTCCCTATCAGTGTCCAGCAGAATCTCAGAGAGAGACTAATTTTCTGAAGGCTAGAGAAAGATTTGTGGATTAAAAAAAAAAATAATAAAAAATCACCAGATCAAAAACAAAACAAAAAGTAGCCAAATCCATGAAACATAAATATTTTAGCAGTTGAAAAGCAGAAAAAAATTAAATATTTTTTTTAGGAAGTATTTTATTTTTTTTCAGGACAAAGTGCAGCTAGACTGCAGATTCTTAGAAATCCCAGGCAAAGCTTGAATGCATTTTGGGCTGAATTCCCTCAGTCTGGACAATGGGGAGGCAATGACAATATGTGTATTGAATATGGCAACCATCTTTTACTTAAAAAACCCCACTGGTGAGCTGTCCTCTTTTCCTGGCCAATGCCTCCCCCCAGTTCACACCACATGGGCTGACATCACCTCAAAGTGTCTTGCAAAAACTTCACATATTTGATGTTATAATTACAGCTGCTCACACCTCCTCTGGCACAACCTCGTAGAAATCCCAAAGCTCTGCTGAGGTGCTGCTATTTCTGCTAAACCAGGTTGAAATTTTGGCCAGGATCCAATGAGACCTTGCCAGTTTTCCTGCCTGTCGGTTGCAAGAGGCAAAATCATCAAAGCTTTCCTAAAATTTCCCATCAGCTGCTTCAAATTTGGCCTTGAATCAGATTTTTTTCCAAGCTCAAAGTACTCAGAATACTACAAGGATGGACAGATGTTTCCAAGAAAAAGTAGGAGGATGGAGCTAGGGCTGTTCAGGAGGTCCATGGCACCAGCAGGCAGAGGAGCTGAGCATTCAAAGTGTGTGAAATGCCCACGTGCCAACCCCATGCTCTGATTCAGGGCAAAGAAACCAGCCCTGCCCACCAAGAGCCAGTCAGAGAGAGAAGAAAACTGAAATCATGCTCGGGAAAAAAATAATTCAGGAATTGAAGTAACCTCTGAGGGGATATTTTACTGAGAAAGCTGAAAATACACATGGAAAACAGAGACAAAGAATTTTCAAATTAGGACCGCACTCCTGTTTTATGATTCTTTTCTCCTTCTTGCCAGTGTAAGAGATTTTTCAATCAGTATTAAGCACACAAAGGCAACAGAGGATGTGAAAAAGGCTCACCACCAGAAGAAAACATATAATACAACATTAAAGCAGAAAATAAATATTTCTGTAATATTTTCTTTTAAATTGCAGTAATGATTACTTCTCTTTTGGGTTCAGATAATCTTCTCTGTTGCTATTTTGTGCTGCAAGTCAAAATGCCTCAAGATTTAATTTGCATTTAGGTAAAGTGTGTTAATAAAACAATGGTCAATGAAGTAAAGAAACAGAAATAAAAGTGACTTTCCCTTAAAAGGGAAAGACTATTTTTATGGCAGAAGATCAGTGAGATGCAAAAAAGAATAAAACATAAGCTCTGGGATGCTAGTCACTCTTTTGGCATCACTGATTTTGGGATTTCACAGAATTATAAACGTATTTTTCTCCTCTTTAACATAACAGAGTCCGTTTAAATCTAATACAGCAGAATAGCAAAATAGCTCTTTGAGCTTATTGTTAAAATTCAGAGTATGTAATTATGTCAGCTGAATATCTGGATACAAAGATGACTGCAGTAAAATAAAATTCAAAAAGAGATTGGACAAAAAAACCCCCCAAACATTATGGGCTTGCATTTATTCTCATGCAATAAAACAAGAAAAGTATTCTGAGTTTTGAAAGCACTGGTCATTCAGACTCCACTGAAACAGAGAGGGGCATTAAGTGCCTGGTGCCATCTAAAATCTGTCTGAAGCGCCATCCAGATTTATATAATTGATTTATATAATTGAGCAGTCACTCATTACCTGCGTGGAGGTGAGGAAGAAACTCATCCCAGAGCTCAGAGAGCTGTCAGCAGATTAAAGGATTTTTTTCCCTCCCTGGAAACATGTGGACTATTGAGGTCCTTGTTTTGGTGCAGGAATATTCCTGTTTTTAGTGTCCTTGCAGAGACACTCAGCACCTGGAGTAGCTCAGGTAAGCCAAAGCATGAGGGATTCAGAAAGCCATTGGCACATATGTTTCTTTTTGAAACTACTTATCTATCCAGTGAAATTTCAAGAAACAAAAAAAAAAAAAAAAGTAATATTTTCAATATTAAAACCCATGGAAGGACTCTACACAGCGGTGCCGTGGCTTCTGCCCATGGCAGGGAGGTGGGAAATAGGTCATTTTTAAGGTCCTTTCCAACCCAAACCATTCCATGATCCTAAAACCATAAAAGACATTCTGACAACCACAGTGCTTTGAGCCCTGGAAGACCATCCAAGGTTGTCACAGCTCCCAGCTCTGGGTGACTTTCCTGCACTGAGTGATCACTGCTGGCTTCCAAAGGTCAGGGGAGAAAAAACAGGAGCTGAAAATCAATCAGAGCCCAGAGCAGCTTTGGCCTGGGCAGCCCCATCCCAGCTCCTCTCTCTGTGGAGCCAGGATGGTGAGATCACACAGCTTTAAAGTGGCAGTGATGGCTTGGGATGAGATGGATGGGAATTCTTTCTCCATGACAGCAGGGCAATTCTGTGCTGCTGCCCTGAAGTGTAGGGAAAAAAATCATCTGCTTTTCGAGCCTGGTACCCATGAATTTTCCAGGCACTTATTGCTTTTCCATCCTTCAGTTTTTCCCCTTAAACAGTCAGTAAATCCCACCTGGATCCTGACATGACTCCATTTGGTGTCTCCTCTTTTGGTCTCATGAAGGAAGGGGACTCCTGCATGCCTGCACTGCCTGAAGCCAGTGCTCCAGACTGGCCTTGCTGTATCATCCTGAACCTGACCTACAGCTCCCAGACCAGGCTGGAGCACAGACAGCATGGTTCTGCTGCTGGCTTCAGTCAGCATCCCTCTGGAGATACAGGAGCAATCCCTGGAGTAAAAGCTCCCTCACAGAGCTGTGAATGTTGTGAATGCTTTATCTCTTCAATTAAATCTTGATCTTTGCTTTTGGAGTTGTGGCATTTATATTTTCCTCTGAAAACCAGCCCTCCTCAAGTAGGGAGTTAATTCCTCTCCTTGCCAGGCAAGGATCCATTCCCAGGACACATTATCCCCACTGTCAGTCCCAAAGGGGTTAAACATGAATGCCTGGGCTCAGTGTCACATCACTTACAGCAGTTCCCAGACGTTGCCTGTTATACATTTTACCTGTCTTTAAACAGGTGCCATATCCCACAGATGACTGGGATGTACCACAGAGGTTGTATTTGCTTCTCCTTACCCTGAAGAAGAACCTCCCACTGAGCAGGTCCTAACCTTACACTGAGCAGTGCCTTGTGCCACCAAACCCTGGAGCTGAGCAGGGACTGGGAGCATTCAAACAAAACCCATGCTGCTCTGATTTTGAGCTAAGAGATATCAACCATCTCTCAGGAATGGTTTGAGTAGGTTGGACAGAGAAGACAAACTCTCAAACTTCCATTGTTTCTTTCTATGCCGTGTGTGTGCTTTGGTGTTAAGGCTATTGGTTGTGGCTCTGGGAAGCTGAGCAGTTGTTGGCATGTAGGACCATGAAAATATGTGTATTACTTAAATGTCACTTCAGTTTTGGTTTGGAGCCAAAAGCGAGATTTCAGGAGGTGCTCTGAACTGCAGCACCACCAGTGCCTGATGCCATTTAACAGTAACTGGGGCAAAGAAGTGAATCATAGCATGTTTATCCTCCAAAACCTGGGTTTCTTGAGTTGGCTTTGATCCAGGCTAGCTGCAGAACAATGTTCCATGGGCCAAAAGGTTCAGGTAACATATCAGCGAGGGCACATCCTTACTCTGGCTGTGGGTGTGGCCTTGGCACATCCTTGGCCCAGGGTACCAGGATGCAGATTTTAACAGCAGATTTTATCTCAATGAGTCTGGGATGCCATAATCCTAAAATACACCGTTCCATCCCCAGACTGATGTGGGGAAAGTAGATTAAATTTTTGGAGCCATTTCCCCAGTGCTTAATCTGAAGATCCCTTCCCTGAGCACCACTTCATGTCCCAAGTGGACCACAGCAGGCTGAAGCCCTTCACCAAGCACCTGCATTTCAGTAAAGCATTCTCAGCCTGTGGAAGAAGGTGGCAGATCCTTGTCTTACCTTGGTCTGGAACGTGCAGAAGACATGAGTAAGGAATGGGTGCTCCCAAGCCAAGGAGAGGACTCTCTTCTCCACCATCGTACACTCAACGTCATCATCCATCAGCACCACATCCTTCTTCAGGGCTTTCACAGCAAAATACTGGTCTGTGCTCTTCAGCTCGGCCAGGAACACCTGAAATGGAAACAGCTGCTCAGAAGGAGGGATTATCTCCTCTCAGAACAGCCATGTGAGAGTGGGAGCTGAGCTCCTGAGGGTACACCTCAAAAACCTTGATGCTTAAGGCCCCATTCTGCCATTAAAGGCTTTGAGTTTGCTCCCCATACCCAGAACAGTTTTATGAAGTTGAGCCCTGGAGAAGCATGTGAAGTTCTTGGCAATTACAGGACCAGGCTCCTACATGCCTGGATGGACAGGACATGCCAGAGAGCCAAGAACCTCTGATAACAGAAACCATCCTCATGCAAATGCTCCTGAGATACATTTCCTGTTTTCTGACTTCAAATAATAAAACACAGAATATTGCTTTGTCAGCATTTGAAATGCAAATACCCTTCACCAGATCTTCAGCAGGCGGAAAATTATGTCCACCAGTAGCTGGACTGGTTTTATATCAGATGTCTTTCTTTCCTTCCTCTCAGTTTTCAGGTCTGAGCACACAGGCTGGGTCCCCCATGCTTTTGCAGGAGTTCTTCTCTGAGAATGGGAAAACACCTCCCAGAGGAGTTACAACCTCTGTCTATTTTTATAGGCAGGGAAAATGAAACCCAGAGCAGCAGAGAAGGGTTTTCTAGAGACCACAGAGCAAAGAAGTCTCTCCTGGAAGGCAGTGACAGTCCTGATCTTCACACTAACAGCCTGCTGACCCTGTTTCTATAGACTGAATAAATGTGTAAGATTCATCAAAGAGGTCTTTGAAGTTCTCTGCCAGACGCTATTTACTGAGTAAGCTCAGACATGTTTTAGCCCCGACAAAAGTTTTATTTACCCTTTTGGCTACTGCTGCATTTCACTTTGTAGCACCAGACAGAGGGTAGAGCCTAGAGCCTCCCTCTGTCTCTGCACTGAATGACCAGAAACGCTCACAGTGCTGATGCTGCAGGCACCCTTTTTACCCTCATGTTTGTGCTGGGCACTGCTGTCCTGGGGAAGCTGGGGAATAAATGTGCTGCATCTGTGACCTGTGCTGTGGCTTCCAAGGAGCAGGTAGGCAATGCCAGACCACATACAGAGGTGGTGGTGGGGGATATCCTCATGGATCTGCCCCTCAACCTCTCAGGATCACACAGAGCTGGAGAGACCCCTCAGGCACAGAGATCTGCACACCCTGTCCCCGCTATGGGGAAGTGAATCTCTCTCCAAGCAAATGAGGGCACCAGGAGCAACACCAGCACAGGAAACTCGTGGGTGAGTTTTTGTTGCAGAAAGGCACAAAATGGCCCATTCTCTCCACACCCACAATGTGCACTTCAAAGAGATGCAGAAGCTTGCAGGCTTGGAGAGTCCATGTCAGCATGAGGGCTAAAACCAGGTACAGAATGTGCTTCAGTGGAGGCATTAAAGATTTGTATAGATGAACACCTGAGCAAGCTCATCTCATGAGACCTGTTTTGAGGAATGGTTTAGATAAGAAGACCTCCAGAGATCCTTTCCTTCCAATAAAAACGTTTCTACTATATCCATGCTCTTGATTTCAGGTTAGTCTGGAATGTTGGATTGGGGTGCTTTAGTTTAGCTGTGAGATGCCTCAGCTCTGGCTCCCATGCAAACTGTGGATATGACAAGTAGACACAACACTTTCTAGTGGAAAATTTCCCTGTCCATTGAGTTGGAAATAGATGGTCTTTAAGGTCCCTTTCAACCCAAACCATTCTATGATTCTATCACTTTCTAGTATGAAAGGCCAACACAGGAAATATTTCGCCAGTTGAAGAACTTGGCTGCAGCAATTGCTCCAGATCATTTAGCAGGCAAAAAGGAGCCCTTTGTCAAGGCACCGTTTCCCCCTTGGAAAGATGTGGGATGTGGGCAATGTGATCCATACTCCTTCTCCTTATTGGCTGTGAAAATGCAATGGGGAGTCCCTCTGAAATGCTTCTCTCAGCTTTGTGCTGGCACTGAGTAACATGAGTCCCCTCCCAGGGGATATCTGCAATGGGGAAGAACAATTCACAATTCATCAGGATTAAAGAATCCACTGAAAACAGGTGGTTCTTCTTTCAAAAGCACAAACTCTTGGCTGCTGGAAAATTTGCTCTGGGCTCCAGCACAGATCAGAGCTGGAAAGAGAGTTGCTGCTCCCAGCTGGGACCTGCTGCCCTGGAGAGCAGAGCTGATCCACACTCAGCTCAGCTCATGCTTCCACCTCCCTAAGAAGAGGGAGAGCACAGAGACCTTTCCCACCAGCTCTCTGGGGATATCCTGGATCCATCAACCTGCACAGAAGGGGGAGTTGAAACCCTGCCTAGGGCACTCCTGTCCTGCCATGGGCAGTCATGAGAGAGCAACTAATGGGACAGGCAGAAGGACAAGGCAAGGAGAAGATGGAGTTCAGGATCCAGCCATGCCAGAGCAAGGATTCTTCGAAGACTTGGAGATTTATCAGCCATTGTGTGGCAGCAGGACCAGAGCAGTGACCTGTACTGGGCACTGGTGAGGCCACACCTCAAATTCTGGGTTCAGTTTTGGGTCCATCACTACAAGAAAGACACCGAGGTGCTGGAGTGTATCCAGAGAAGGGAACAGAACTGGGGAAGGGTCTGGAGCACCAGGAGGGGCTGAGGGAGGTGGGAAAGGGGCTCAGCCTGGAGAAAAGGAGGCTCAGGGGGGACCCTGTGGCTCTGCACAAGTCCCTGACAGGAGGGGACAGCCAGGGGGGTCGGGCTGTGCTCCAGGGAACAGGGACAGAACAAGAGGGAATGGCCTCAAGTTGTTCCAGAGGAGGTTGAGATGGGATATTAGAAAAAATTTCTTCACTGGTCAGGCATTGGAAGGGGCTGCCAAGGAAGTGGTGGAGTCACCATCCCTGAATGTGTTCCAAAAACATGTGGATGTGGCACTTGGGGACACAGTTAGTGGTGGATGTGGCAGTGCTGGGTTAGCAGTTGGATGCAAAAACCTTGGAGGTCTTTTCCAACCTAAATGATTCCATGTTTTTCCCTAAGTGTCCCTTCAAACCAGATGTTATTTAGTGCCACACAAAGTGACATGCAAATGCACACAGTGGTGTCCCAGCCCCAGTGCTTACCTTACCAAAACTGCCCTTCCCCAGCATCTTGTGCAGGACAAAATCTTCAATGGTCAGTTTTAACTGCACTTGGTGCTCCTGCTGTTCCTGGGACTGTTCTCCCAAATCTGACTCTATGAGAGACTCTCCCTTCACTGTGCCCTCCACTGGAGTCTCCCAGGAGATGCCTTGTGGCTCTGCAACAGACGTCAAAGCACTCGAATAAACCCCTGGACAGGAGCAGAAAATCCCCAGAACACTCACAGGTATTCTGCTTAGAGGTTTAAAAGGATATTTTAGACAAATGGAAGTGTGGTGGCCATCTCTGAGTAGATTGGCTCTGCTCCTACACTGCATTCGCTCCACAGGAATCTTTAGTCCAGTGGAAACTGCATCTTCTTCAGTAGTTTTTTTAAAATTTACAAACGACTTCACAAACTCCTTCATCTGTCTTTCTGTATTGTGGCACCAAATCCTTAATTTCTGGCCACATGTCTTCTCCAGTCCTTCTTGCTGTTTGCCATTATGATGTGGTTTCATTTTTTCAATGTGTTTTCAAAACCCTGGGCAAAGCTAGATGAAAAGGTGGGACGGCATTTTCATACTGTGCTCCTGCTCTGGATGTGAAGCATTCCAGATCAACCAGCCTGGAGCGGAATTGCTCTGAGTTTGTTCAGTACTCCACTAACTTGGATTTGTAAGAACTTCTAAGAGATTTTGTCCCTCACTGGATTTATCCTGTTGCTGTAACTGCTCTAAAATGCTGGACACACTCAGCAGACAAACTGACCCACATGTGAAACAGATGTGAAACCACCTGAGGCTTTACTGTTTCACATCAGCACAGCCAGTTCTACTTGCAGAACAGAACACAAATAAACACAGATGGGGACATAATTTCTTTCTCCTTGGGGTCCAAAGGGCACGGTCTCTCATTTACCCTCCTAAACATCTGTTCTTGTACCACAGAGGGCTGTGACACCTAGATCAGCTGCTAGTGAGTGAAGTGAGGTCCATCAGGGGTTTTCAAAGCTACCAGAAGTCAACCTCCACCCAAAAACATGAAATCAGAAACAAAATTGGCCATGGTGATCAGAAGGATTCCAAATATCCTGTCTAGAGCTTGGCAATAAATTCCCCACTCGTGTCACCTCCAACTCACCACGTACCAACCAAACAACAGCAAAGCTCTGCCCTGTATCACCAGGAGGAATTACCTTTTTTCCCTGATCCTGGCAAGGCCTGAAGTGGTGTCACATCCTTCACAGGAACAGGGAAGCCGATTTCCAGAGGTCCATCCCTGGAGATCTGTTCACTGTCGCGCTGGCAGCGAGCCTGGGACACAGAAACCAGCAAATTTTTGAGCCAAAATTCTTGTATTTGCGGGGTTCCCAGATGAATGAAGGAATGATGAATCCGACTCCATGTTCTTAGAAGGCTAATTTATTATTTTATGATCTATATTATATTAAAGAATACTACACTAAATTATATTAAACTATACTAAAGAATACAGAAAGGATACAGACAGAAGGCTAAAAGATACTGCTGAAAAACTTGTGACTCTTTCCAGAGCCTTGACACAACTTGGCTGTAATTGGCCAATAAGTAAAAACAATTCACACGAAACCAATGAAACAATCACCTACCACATTCCAAAGCAGAAAAACACAGGAGAAGCAAATGAGATAATATTGTTTTCTTTTTACTCTGAGGCTTCTCAGCTTCCCAGGAGAGAAATCCTGGGCAGGGGATTTTTCCAGAAAATATGACGGTGACACAAAATCACGTGCCAAGCTTATGAACAACACTGTGACTTCTTGAGTGCGACTCACAAAAGCCAAAATGTAGAAGAGCATCTAAAAATGCTTCAGCTATTTACCTGCTGAGTGCTCTCTATCATTGCCAGAGCTTCAGCCATCAGTTTCTGATTCACTCCACAAAGATTTGCTACTTTTGCCTGGCACTTGTGGTGGACGTTCATGCCACACTCTGAAAGAGAGAACACAAGGTGTCAGGACAGTGAAGGCTGTAAAGGGTTGGGCAGGAGCAAGTGCTGCTGTTGGCCAGGGACAGAGATCAGCCACCTAAAGGGTTCTTGAGATGGCACTCAGGTAGCTTTTTGGTTCGCTATGGAGACTATTTTTGTATTTTCTTCTGGCCAGAGGTTGCATTTCCACATCCATCAGCCTCTGCAGGTACAGGCTACTGAAACTACAAGCCATTTTCTCAGAGATAAACTGTAATTACAGAAGAGGATCCTCCCATTGTTTGGAATTATGAAGACAGTGAAATGTCTTGGGTCTAATAGTAGAAACAGAGCTTGCAAGTTCATACTGGGGGTGATTTGGGAAAGTGCACAGTGCCACTGTGATGCTCTTTGTCTCTTTGGGAAGAAATTCATCATCCTGCTGGATCAAATATCTCTCAGCACATGGACAGTTCTCATTCTTGAAGAACAATCCTCCTTGAAGGACAGTCCTGTGGACCTCTCCTTCACGCTCCTGGGTGCCACCTCATACTACTTTTTCAGAGAAGGGCGGTAAATGAGATTTGGATTTTCAGACTGCCGCCCTCCAAAGACAAGGACCCTTCCCATGCTCAGCTGGTGCCACCTTGGCCAGGGACTCACCGTCACACTTCAGCCCCTGCCGTGCCAGGCCCCAGAGGAGAGTGCCACAGTGCTCACAGAAGGTGGGGCTCTTGTAGTTGTACACTTTGAAGCGGTGGGGCATGTCGATCTTGAACCTCTCCTTGTGGAACTGCAAGACAAAAGCCAGGCTGAAAACCCACTCCTCATTTCCACCTGGGTTCCGTGTGGAAAACCAAAGGTGCGCCACGGAAGTTGGTTTGTCTACTGCCCTCTTATCCTTGGGTATGACTGCCAAGCAGAAATTGTTTATCAGGCACACAAACCCAAATTTTGATATACAGTGACTGCAGTTCAGAGGGAATTGAGTCATTTCATCCCTGGCCTTGACCAAATGACTGCTTGTGCCTCATTTATATACCCAGGCTCCCCTAATGCTCAGTGGGAAAACATTGGTGCTTTTAAACATCATTCACCTCTTTCTGCAATGGATGTCTACATTTGTTGTCATGAATCACTCCTTGGAAGAGCCTGTTGTAATTCTTTTAGTATGAAAGGTGATGACAAAGTTGGTTACATCTACCCTGGAGATGTCAGAAAAGAAGTGAAAGCAATCTCATCTATAAAAATTGTAGAAGGAGAACAGGAGAACGGGGTGGGACTGAGAGTAAACAGAAGTTGTAGGACACAAGGTTAAGGGAATAGTCCTATCAGGAGTTTAAGGTCTGGTTTTGCCTACCAAAAAGAAAATTTTAGAATAAACTGACATGAGAAAAATAAAGTAAATAACAGCAGAGATATCAGATCTCCCACTGACTGTTTCAGATAACACAAGCACAGATTTGTTCAAGCACAAATCTGAAAATTCAGCCTGATGTCCAGCCTGACACTGGATAGTGAAGAGTTTTCTCCAGTAGATCTCCACCTCCTGTCTATGACTTCCCTCTGAGTTATACTTTATGCATTAGAAAAATGTCAGTTCTGATCCAGCAACTGCTTATTCTGCAGCTGCATTTGAGTAAATCTTAAGTAGGAGGTAATGAAATCACTGGGAACATAAAAAGCAAAGGGCACAGATCAGATCAGAGTCCTTAGCTCAGCAAGTCCTTTTGCTTCATCAGAAGTTGCTTTGCAGTGGTGTGGGAGAGATCTGAATGACACTGAAGATTTTTGAAAGGGAATCATAATAACAAAATTAAATAAAATAAAATAACAGCAACAATAATAATAATAATAGTAATACAACCTACCATAGTTTCTCTGCTGTTGATTGCTGATCCTGTACACTTGGCTATTACTTTATCAATGCACTTCTTATGAATGGCAGCGTTACATTCTGCAACAGCAAAGATGTCATGTGTTAATAAATAAATTCCTCAAGAAAAGATTAAGTAAATAATGACAATAAGAAAACAAAAGAAAGTTTCTTACGTCTGCATTGATAGCCTTGCTTATTCAGACCCCTGAAATGAACAGAGCAGTGGTTAATCCTGAGTTTTCTGGAAGCCTCAGTAGAAGAAAGGAGATCAATAATTATCAAAGAAGGAGAACCAAATTGCTTTGCTTTTTATCACTCTTTGTAGAGATTATTTAATTTCATTATCCTCATTTAATCTAATGGTGGAGTGATTCTCTATGGTTCTCACAGCCTTTTCAGCACACATTCACATCCTGAATTTCATGATATCCAAACAGCAAACTGGACCGATGAGAAATGCCTTTGTGCATTTTGCCAAACCCAAAAATATTTGCAAAAAATATATTAAAAACTGTGGGGAATTTTTCACAGTTGGAATTACAACTGCAAACCACATCCTTAAAAGTGATGCAACAGCTGTACAAGTAAGATGCCAAGGGTCTTACAGGAGGAGCACAGACATTTAATAGGGAATCATGGAATTTTTTAGGTTGGAAAGGACCTTTAAAATCATCCATTCCAACCACTAACCCAGATCTGCCACGTCCAACACTAAACCACATTCCCAAGTGCCACACGGACACCAGAACTGGTTCCTGGGGTTAAAAGGAGAAGAAGCACAGATCCTTTTCCATTTACCACACAAACTCGTGGCACACAGAGCAGAAGGTGGGCTGTGGAAAGAAGGTGGCTGTGAACTCGTGGCACTTGACGTTGTGGATTTTGGCCTGTTTGATGGCTCCCCTGCGCTGGTGCAAGGAGAAGAAGCCTTCAGTCTCACAGTCAGCCAGGTCCTTTGCATCTGGGAGGAGAGGAAAGAGATTTAAGTGTACCCTGTCCTGATCAGGTGCCTTCAGAAAATGCAGTTGCCCAAATACTATGTGACTGAAGCTGATGATTCACTCATGGTAACAAATACTCAAAGAAATACCATTTTATGAAACCCACAAAAGTCTCATTTGGAGGGGTGTTATCTACCATTCCTACACTAAAATGACTTCAGACTTGGGACACTGAGCTCTCTTGACTATTCATAACACTGCTTTTGAAACCTAGAACAAAAATTTCCCAAGGAGAGGTAATTTAAACATAAAACTCTGTACAGTACTGAAGAAGCATGCCCTAAAAAAGGATGAAATTACATAAAAATGAATAATTACTGATATATGGACACAAACACACATGTGTATATGTGCATATACGTATATATATTTATGGGTATTTAACAGAATCCTTTCTGTGTCCATATACATGTGTCAGTAAGCACATATTTATGTCCCAGGACATTCTTGTTACTTTTCCATGCCAACACCTGCCTTGCTGTTTGCTGTGTCCTTGCTGTAATTCACAGTTATTTAAGCTTTTTGGGACAGCAAACAAACCAATTCTGACTTCACATGCACTTCTACATGTGCTTGTGCCTACAAATCTGAAATTCACACAGAAAATCAATCTCTGTTTAGTTTCACTCCTGCACTGCACAGTAACCTGTGGGAATTGGCCCCCTGTGTGATCTGATGCTGATCTTGATATTAGTTATAGGAGTACAACTTGCATTTTCTATGCTTCAGCCTCCCTAACGCCTTTTAATACACAAACATCAGTCCAGGTTACATTAAAAGTAAGGATGGTTAAGGAAATATCAGCATGGCCATGGCTGCTTTCAGTGCTTCTCTGTTTCTACAAATGGAAGTGCCTTCCAGGTATCTGCACCTCACAGCTTCACCCTGCCCCTGAGGATATAAGAATTTTGTCAACAAAGAGGGGAGAATAAGACCAAGCATTTGAATTAAACCCATTTCCTTCAACAAAGCAGAATGTAGCCCTTTCTATGAGAAATTTTCCCTAATAGCCATCCTGAGGCTGTTCCCTGAGGCCGTTCCCTCTCCTCCTGTCCCTGTTCCCTGGGAGCAGAGCCCGATCCCCCCGGCTGTCCCCTCCTGTCAGGGAGTTGTGCAGAGCCACAAGGTCCCCCCTGAGCCTCCTTTTCTCCAGGCTGAGCCCCTTCCCAGCTCCCTCAGCCCCACCTGGTGCTCCAGCCCCTTCCCCAGCTCCATTCCCTTCTCTGGACAAGCTCCAGCCTCTCCATGAATTTCTTGTAGTACATAAAGCAGAATTATTTCAGAGGGAGCTGCCTCCTTATGTATCTGTTCTGTCTTGTTTAGCATAATGGGAATATCTGCCATTTAGTGGTAAACCAGCCAAAAAATCTGTCTTGCAAATCACAGAAGAAGCGTCACCACACAATAAAAATTACTTTTCTGGAGTTTTTGTTTCAAACAGTTATGTTTGTTGTGATGGATCAATCAGTAATAACATAGGCATTGCTTTTAGTGAAGACATCATGTCTGCCCCACAGCCCAGAAATCACAGCTATAACTTAACAAACAGAATCACTTGCCACTTATTTCCAGGAAGTATCTCGCATTCATCAGCATTCGCCCTTGAGGCTTCAGTTCTAGCTGGTTGAGATGAGTGAAAAACAAGAAAAAAAGTCCATTAAAAAGTCATTCAGAGAAGGAAAAATCTTTTCAGGTGACTTCCAAGCGATCTCCTTTTCCCAGTGGGAACTGATGAACAGCAATGAGTGCTAATTTTCAGGTTGCTCATACCCATGTGAGGCAGCAAGGTAGGGTAGGAGCAACTACAGAGAGAGGAGGGTTGATCACCTCATATCAAACACTCAGAGCAGCATGATAGGAGAGATGAATGAGATTAAACCACAGAAATGTAGGCAGCTTTTTAGACACCAAATTAGGACCACCACGATCCACAGAGAAAACTTGTTCCCAATGAATCCTGCAAGGGGAAGGTGGGAGCAGTTCAAAAAACCCAGCCAGCTTCAGACAGGTGATGCTGAAATCTTTTAGGCACTCAGTTCTGCAAGTCTAACTTCTTTACAGTCAACCTGAGGGATGCCACAAGCTTATTATTGTGGTGCCATGGTCTAGTTGAGGTGTTGGGGCTGGGTTGGACTCGCTGATCCTGAAGGTCTCTTCCAACCCAGTCATTCTGTGTGATTCTGTGTAATTCAAGCATTTTTTGGGGCCTCCCCTCTGGACTTGGCAATTCCCACCTACCTGACTCATCATCCATAAGTGTCTTTGGAAATCTGAATCCACCGGACTATGTATAAGCTGGATACTGCATTTTAAAGATTTCTGCCAGGATCTTTCTTGCCTGGACTAGCAGGGAACACAACCTTACATTATCATTCTTGTGAAGACTGTTCAAATTTACACCACCATAACTTCAGTGATTTTTAAGGAGTTGCTCTGACATAACTCTGAACTCAGGCAGCTGTGAATCAGCTACTTGGTATCAGATAAAATTTTTAAAGCTGTTTCCCCAGAGAACATAAAATAACTCATGTTCAGCCAGTCATACTAAGACTTGTTCCCAGTGGGTTTCCTCAGCCAAGATTAATTCGTGGACACAACTCACCTGAAGCAGGATCCTCACTAGCACAGGGCAGGTTTCAATTAAAACAAAAGTGCCAAACTCTTCTCTCCTGACAAGGCTCTCCCTCAAGTCACACCCAAGTAGTCTCAAATCATTATTCCAGCCAGTCCCCACTGTGCTGCTGGTGACAGCCACAGCCTGGCATGGACACAAGGACACATCCCCTTGCCTTGCAGCAGCTCCCTAGCCCATCCTGCAGGAGAAGAGAGTGATGCTCACCCATATCTCTGTCTTCCCATTGCTCTTTTTGCACCTCTCTGCCAGCACCTTCAGCTCCACCGTCGTCTCCGAGACCATTTCAGCACTTTTGTCCTTGACCACGATGTGCATGACCCGGCCATTGTTGATGTGGGCATCAAAAGTGCTGTTCCAGGGTGGGTACATGGTGGGCTTCTTCTGCACATACACTTGGCCATTCTCTGTTGAGAGGGAGAGCACAAATCCATGCAGTGAGGGCGGTTCATGAGACCAAATACAGACATCTACCCTAAAAAGGTAATTTCCACCCTTGACCCCACCAGTTCTGCTCAGGAGATCCCACATCTGACCCCAACACCATAAACACCCACTTCTAATCAGGTGAATCCCATCCCAGACAATTACCTTGTTTATCACCTGTCCCAAGGCACTGCAAAATGAGACAGGTTTGCTTCAAACCCCCCAAAAGCTGGGTGCACTTTGGGATGAATGTCCAGCCCAGTAGCCAACTAAGGGATGTTAGAACATGAACTGTCATGCAGACCTGTAACTATCCCACAGGGATGTAGAGTTTTCAACAAAGCAAACTTTCCTAATGCTTTAATTCCTCTTCCTTCACAGCATCTTAATATGGGTAAAAAAATGGGTATCTCTGAGGTTTGCAGAGGTTTTTCTCTAACTGGGTCTCTCTGAAAAGAGCCTCAGCCAGATTTATCTCACAGAGCCAGTTTTACTTCATACAGCCCTGTAAAAGTCTTGGTACTCAAGACTACTCAAGGTAAATTCTATATCACAGTTACCCTCTGCAAATGTTCAACCCATCAAATGCTGAAGCTGAAGGAAAAAGAGAAAAAAAGCAGCAGATCTGTGACCCCTGTCTAAAGACCCTGCTGTTATTTCCAATAATTCCAGATGGAAAAGAACATGCAGCTGGAAGGTAACACGAAGAAAATTTTTCCCTAAATGAGAGGACTAATTCACAAAAAATCCGAGACAAAAATGAGACATAAACTTTCCAGCATCCCAGGAAACAGAAATCTCAGCAAAGGACCATCATTTCTTTGCTGCATCAGTGAAAAAGCCACAGAAGTGAAACACAGCACTTGCACAACAAGTGCTTTCATTTGTGTTACACTCCAGGACACCAGGCTTAAATAAACAAACCCTGGAATGTGAATGAACTGCCCGATATATGGGATCAGACAGTCACCCTGGTGCGTCCCCGCTGACGGCTGTGGAATTCTGCCAGGGATTAATCTAACCCCAGGTTCCCGAAAAATGAAATTGCAACTGTCTTTCCTGGGGAGCAGCTTCCATTGTGGCTGGGAGTGCTTTTCCTGGAGGCTTTGCTGAGTTCAAACACAGAGCAGGAGCCTTCATGAAGCAAATGTCACCAAGGCAGGTGGCAAAATGGCACCTGGCCAGGTGGCTTGTGAAGGCAGAAGCCACTTTTAAAGGGCAGACTCTTTTTATATCTCAGAAGCACATATAATTTCTGAAATATTTTGTCATCAGTTATAAATTGCTGTAACACCTCCAATGGTATGGAGGTGTGGTTTGTTTTTCATGGTTTTTTTGGTTGTTGTTTTGGTTTTTTTTTTCAGATTGCATTATAATGTGACAAGACCCTTTTTACAAAATAAGCAAGTAGAAAAATTTATAAGGCTGCCCAAGATCTATCCAGAACTTCTGAAATTCTTCACTGTGGTCTTGCTGTGATATCCCTGTGTCCACAGAGGATGTTAATCACTCCCAGATCCCTGGGGACCAGTGACCTTTTCATTATGGCTGGTTGACAAGGGACAGCCTCTGGCATGAGCCCAAAGTCAAACTCCCTGTTTTTGGAAATATATTTATCATCTACCACTGTTCTGTTTGCAAAAACCCAGCCAACCAATCAAACAAAGACAAAACCAAAAAACCCCACACTTTGCCAGTGCAAAACATAGAACCACAGAATGTTTTAGGTTGAAAGGGACCTTAAAAACCATCCAGTTCCATCCCCCTGCCATGGGCAGGGACAACTTTCACTAGACCAGGTTGTTCCTTGGACTTGAACATGTAGGCATGTCCTGCCCTGCTCAGCAATCGTTTCTGCCCTGAAAAATTCCTCCATGGCCAAGTGTCAGTGCACAAGGCCAGGAAGATTTGCATCTCTCACCAGCTGTGCAGCTGGTCCACTCCTACTCCTTGATCATGCCAAAATTTTAGCCACAATTTGTATATCAGTGATATATATATATATATATATAATATATTTTAAAAAATTAATTTTTTTTCATCCAATTACAACTGAGCAGCAATTGCTTTGTCAAACCAGGGAACTGGAGAGCAAATTATGACCAAAATAAAAATAATCATGAAGCAGGAATAAGACACAGTTTAGCAGAGGAACTGGCAGCATTGGATTAACAGCTGGACTTGACGTTATTGGAGGTCTTTCCCAATCTTAATGATTCCATGATTCTACCTCAAATATATTTAGTTAATGCTTGTCTGGAGACCTTTTGCCTTCTTGAAGCCTGTTAGAGCATGACAGCTCCTTGGGATGGTCACGGAGAGCATTCCTGGCATTTGGAGTCAGGCTCATCTCCCTGCACGTCAGACAGAGACCTCTGAGTGGTCTGTCTGGTCAGGGGGAGCTTTTCCAGGGTGTGATTCACCACACTCATCACGGATGCGTTCCTCAGGCTGGGATTGCTCACACATCAGTATCAGGGAATTAGAGGGTGGATGGATTCCGTGATGGCCTCACTTTCCTCAATCCCCCTAAGGTAAAGTTGTCCATCCACACATTTAAACACCCTCCAGCAGGTTAACACCTCTCACAGGTGCTTCAGCCCACCCTAGGAGGGGAGTGTGACGTGAATCAGCCCCAGGAGCTTCACTGATGAGATGAGTGCCTCTGGCTGTCCCACCATGCTCTGAGCCTCCACCAGATGAAATTTCATCCCAGCAAACAGAAATCTCCTAATGGCAGAAAGTCACTTTCCTGTGCTCAGCCCTCACTAATGGAGAAAAGTTCCTTCAAACACAATTTTTTATTTCTTGCTGGTAGAGGATTTATTATAAAAATAATAATTAAAATGATTATAAATATTACAGTAATAATTAAAATAAATATAATTACTATAATGATTATTGACTCTGAGGAGCACAAAAATTATATCCCTTAGAAAATACTTTTGTGTTTGTTGGATACCAGAAAACACTTTCAGCTCTGTGTCAGACAAATAAATACAGGTCTGTTCTGACCAAGTTGATTTTATTCACTTTTGACCTGACACAGATTTCAATTTGAGTTATGGCTTTCAAAAGCCTCATTAAAGCAAACAGCCAAGCTCTGCACAGAGCTAAAATAGAACGTATTTTCTGATAAAAGTGAGATCTTAGGGATATCTTGTCATGCAGTATTTTCTTTCCTTTTGAATTTACTATTCACCAAATCTTCCATTATTGTTTGAAGTATCATTTAAGGCAAGACAAAGTTCAATGTGATAAATGCTGAATCTTAAACAAAAAATGAACCCCAGTGAAATACGGAACTATTTTAAAATTATAATTTTTTAAAACTACTTTAACATCCTCTGGGGATTACAGTCATGGGGATTCTCAATAAATAGGGATTTCTGAGTGGATTTTATTTTTCAAAGAATCACAGCAGTCAAATTAGAACTTTATCAAAGATTTAAGGTAATATCAGCCAAAATGAGAAACTCCCTAACACTGAAGGTCTTGCTCTTCGTGATCCTTCGAAAGCACAACTGGAGAACTTTTCATCCTTTCACTGGAATTATTTTAATGCATAAGACATATAATAAATGTTTTCCAAAGGAGGATTCATCAGTGTTGTTCAATCAGGATAAATGTGCAACAGTCCATATATTCAAACACAGCAAACAGCTTCTCAGGAGGTTTCATTTTCAAACCTTTTGTACAGCACAGCAATTACACAGATAAATTAACTATTTCTGCAGAGGCTGGGCTGTTTGAGTAGCTTTTTTTTTCTTTTTTTTCTTTTTTTAAATTATGGAAGTGGCTGGGTCTGTCAGTTTCCCCCCAAAAAGTGATTAACAAAGATGACCCTGCCAGAATATTTTAGCGCACTCAGATTTCACCTGCCTGGAGTCCCACTGACAAACCAACAACTGGCCATGGAAGGGTGAAACTGAATACAGCTCAGCTCATCTGCTCTGTCACATGCTGGGGCTTGTAATGCAGCTGATAATATCCTCAAATTGGAAATACAAATTTGTTTGCCACCATCTTAAAATCAGATTGCCTTGCAGACCACACCAAACCCAAACTTGCACTGTGCTGGGACACACAAAGGGGTTCACAAATCTTTATAAAGTGGGGTGGGAAATGGATGGTCTCTGAGGTCTCTTCCAAGCCAACATATTTTATGGTTCATTCTGGTTATCTACACACAGGAAATGACACAGAAAAGCACAGACATGACTTAGAGAAGCCCCCATCCACACTTAACCCCTCCCCTCTTACCTGACTCCACGGCTTCTTTAACCATCACGGCACAGTAGGGGTTAATCACCTCCCCCTGGGACGGCAGGTAAGGGCCACTGTCGTAGTTGGACAAACCAATACGCAGGAAGGGAGACATGACAAGTCCTGTGCCAAACAAAAGACAGGCAACACTTGGGAGAGAGTCTAAAAATTCCCCTGGTTTTGACCAGCCCCTTATCTCCGTCGGGCAGCGGGACGCCGGCTGCTAGTTATCCATCCAGCTGGAGCCTCTCTGACTTCCTTCCACGGACTGAGCCAGCACTGCTGGACGTGCTCAAGGTACTGGAACTCAGCTGTCAGCTTGACCACGGAGCTGAACTCATCACAGGTCTGGGAAAACCCACAGGAGCAGCCCTGAGCACTGCTGACTTCACGCCGACCACCAGGAACGAGGATGACAACGCACAGGAGTCACAAATCAGAGCTTGCTTGGCCTGGGATAAACCTCTGCTGTAATTGATGTTGAGTCACATCAAGAACCTGAATGCTATGGGAACAGAGAGGGGTTTGGGAATACTGTTGGAAGCCTGCACGCTGAATGTGAAACTGTGAAATAACTGTGCACTATTTATATATGGCATGGAAAGGAGCTCAGGCATTCCTGGGTGCTGAACCATATTCACAAGTGAAGATATAAAGAGAAAGTTCAGCTCATATGAACCACACTGTACAGACAGTGAAACAAAATACCCCACCAGAAAAAACAGCACCTCAGGATTGATTTTAAGCAGCTGAAAACAAATACAATCAAGGTGCCAGGAAACACTACAAAACCTTTGAGATGAAACACTACAAAACTTTCTCTGCAAGATCTTTCAAAGCCTTCAGAGAGAAGATTTCGTGAAACCAGAAATTATTAACTGTTGTAGCTAGTGCCCATCATTTTACCATCTGGGCCCCAAACTGGGATTTACCACCCAACTTTTGTCTCATCATCTGAGCTTGTCATTCCTGGCTTCTCCTCCAGACAATGGGGAGCAAGAGGCACTTTGAACTCAGCTGCAGATGTCTGTCTTGGACCACCAGAGTTAAAAGCCACCAGTGCTATCACCAGCTGTTATCTGTCAAATATATTGACAGTGACACATTGTTCAAGCACAACAGCAAAAGGATGAATGACTTGTGGTGTGGGATGCAGCCAAGTCTCTTCTGCATTTTACGCACAAAAATGATCTTTCTGTAGGGAATCTTCTCTAGCCCTACATGGAAAAAGTTCCAGGTTTTTTTTGGGGTTTTTTTGTTGTTTTTTTTTGTTGTTGTTGTTGTTTTGTTTTGTTTTTTTTTGTTTTTTGTTTTTTGTTTTTTTTGCTTGTTTGTTTTTTGGGAATAGCATTTTCTTACCTGCAAATGGTATTTTCCTGACAGGTAAGTTCAGTCTCTGAGAGGGGCTTTTCTTTTCATCACTGTTGTGGACAACATGGAAAGGTTTTTCTCAGCTGAAGGAATATCTGCTCCTCTGGCCAGGCTGACTTCAAAACCTGTGTCTCTATTCAAGGACACAGGAGGCAAGACCATCAAGGAAAGAGGAGAAGTTGAGGAACCAAGATGTAGCCCTTTGCTTGAGTGTCTTCTCTCTTCCCCAGCAGTGTGGAACGATGAGTTTCCATCAGCCCCTCGTACAAAAGTCTGGGGCTGCTACAAAACCCAGAACAACTTTTTCTCAGCACATGGCCAGGTTGCAGCTTGTTATTCCACTTGTATCCTGGATCTGATGAGATCTTCTCCTTCCTCCTGTTTTATAAAACAAAGACAAACTGCTGCAGTTATTGCTGGGACTGGAACACCAAATCTTCTGGCTGAGCATTCACAAGCACTGAGCACTCACATTCCAACATTTTCCGACACAGATGGCTCATGAAGCCAACTGTCCGTGTTCTCTGAGAAAGAATTTGCCTTCCCAGAAGGTTTCCCTAAATTTACTGCTCTACATCAGGCCAATTTATTCAATAAACAGCATCTGAAGACTCTCATTCCCATTTGAGCTCCTGGCTGTGTTAGCCAACAACCAGGCTGAGTTTTCAGGAAAACAGCAAAAAAGTCACAAACTCTCTTGGATACTGCACTCAAAAGAGAAGAAAACCATCAGGTGTCTGGGGAAGAGAGGATGGGGCAGAGAAAGAGAAAAATATCCTGTGACTCATGTCTGTTGTGTATCTCTAGGAATGCAGAGGTCATGGATCCCTGCATGTGGCATTGCCCTCGACCAGGAAAACATCAGAGCTTCTGCCAAGTCCTAAAAGCTGGTGGGAAAGGCAAAGCACCAGGTGGAGCTGGATACAGGCAATCAGGACAATCCTGTTCTCCTCTGGATGAGGGCAGCATCTCTGAAGGATGTTTCACATTAGCCAAGTGCCTGATGAAGCTGCTTTGAAGAGCCACTTGCATTTACACAGATCCTCAAGCACAGCTAGACCTGTGGCACTGCAGAGAGGTACAGTGAGTGGTTGTGAGTGCTCCATGGCAAGAAAAGGCTAAAAGTTCTGCCTCAACTGTCAGAAGCACAGAAACCTGATCAAATTAAGAAGGAAAAAAAATCTCTTCAGTGGAAAAAAAATATACGTTCTTTTCCCTGTCTGCAATGCAGACAATTATTATTACTTAGACATTTCCTTTGTTTCAAAAAACAAGAAACCTATGAAGTCTAAAGACAAAAGGAAAAACAAATCAAAGGGTCTCTGGCAGCAGAAGTGAAATCCAAGGAGCTGTATATTCTGTACCATTAGTGTGAAAAGCTGAAGATGGGCAAAGACTAAAACCAACAGCCAAAACATCTTAATTGTACCTCTGAGTGTGAACAGAAATGTCCTCTGTCTCTACCATATTCCACCAATTCTGGCCACTGCTGGGCAAGAAAAAATTATGATCCTCTTCCAAATCCCTAATTCCTACAACTCTGGCTTTAGAGAAACCTGATCAAATTAAGAAGGAAAAAAAATCTCTTCAGTGGAAAAAAAATATACGTTCTTTTCCCTGTCTGCAATGCAGACAATTATTATTACTTAGACATTTCCTTTGTTTCAAAAAACAAGAAGCCTATGAAGTCTAAAGACAAAAGGAAAAACAAATCAAAGGGTCTCTGGCAGCAGAAGTGAAATCCAAGGAGCTGTATATTCTGCAGCATTAGTGTGGAAAGCTAAAGATAGCCAAAGACTAAAACCAACAGCCAAAACATCTTAATTGTACCTCTGAGTGTGAACAGAAATGTCCTCTGTCTCTACCATATTCCACCAATTCTGGCCACTGCTGGGCAAGAAAAAATTATGATCCTCTTCCAAATCCCTAATTCCTACAACTCTGGCTTTAGGAACTTGTTGTTCCACAAGCAGCAGCAGGAGGAAGTGCAAGAGGTTAAGCACTCCCTTACCAGGACTTTCCAAATTCACCTTTCAAATCTCAGAGTGGCAGTCAGAATTATTAGTCAGTGTGTTGGGCATCTAAGAACATGAGTGTTGCTACAAGAATACAAAGATCTTTTCATGGTTCCTTATAATAAAATGTGGTGACACTATTGACTCAGGTACAAAAGAAATAAAATTAGGACTAAACGTATGAGCTGCAATTCATCACACTTCAATTAAATCAATGTATTCACAACATAGGTGGAATTGTGAAAGCTCTTGTCCTGCTAAATACTCCTGTCACTGCTCCAAAAATCACTGCTTGGATGTGCTGCAAGACACCTGCTCAGGTCTGAGGGTCAGCTCCCTGAGCAGTGACATTTAAAACTTTCCTTCTTCTTAAATGCTGGATGTTCCCTCCCTCCCCTCCAGTGCAACACTTCATTTTGGCTCTGTGCAATCAAGCGCTTCCTGATCAGGTATCCCAGAGATGTGGAATCTTCACTCTTGAAATATTCAAAAGCCATCTGGCCAAGATCCAGGGCAGCTCCTGGTGTCCCTGCTTGGGCAGGAGAGGGGGACACGAAGAGGTCACTTCAAAGCTCAAGCAGCCTGTGGTTCTGTGAAGACACAGAGGGATAGATCTCACCAAGACCCAGATGTCTGCAGCACCTGCCATGTCAGGCAGTCACCTGAGCTCCTGAGAGAGGAACAGAGGGAAATTGGCACCCTCAGATCCTGAGCTGGAACCACCAGTGTGAGATCTCCCTCCTTTGAGAGCCAGTGGGAATACCTGGGGATGATCTGTTCACATGAAGCACCTTCACTGCAAGATCGGGTTTTGACCAGGTTCCTCAAACCATTAAAATTTCAATGGATCCCTTCAATGAATCAAATCTGAGAGACTTGTGCTGGGACTTCACATAAACCAGTTTATTGCAGGAGATGCTCTGCAGCCTCCAGCAAACAGATGAGAACTTTCCACCAGCTGCAAAGCACGTGGGTTTGGCACAGCAAGAGTCAGCACTGATAAACCAACAGCTGCCCTCCTAAGCCTTGCAAAATCTGGCTCAAACTTGCTAAAACCAGAGTTTACTGCTGTACCAGCCTCGTGTGAGCACTCTGCTCTGGGGTGGATTTCTTTACCCTGCCTAATAAATCAGACAGATAACTGGTTTCCTGCTTTCCTCTCTTTTCTCACACTGTCTTTCCTGAAACCACCTTGGCTTTGGCCCAAACATCTGTTTTCCAGGTCAGATTTCCAGCATTTGCCACTACAGGACTGCTGCTTGGCTGGCATCCATGGCCATAAACAATTAAGCAACAACACAGCTCAGCTCCAGCACGGCTCGCTGTAATAGCAGCAGTTTAATTTAACACCAGAAACAGCTGCACTGGGTATGGAGAGTGTCTGCTTAATTTCCCAGTGGAAAGGATACTGTGAGGTATCTGGAAAGCAAGGATGAAATGCAGCTTTCTCTAAGAGGCCACCTGCAACCTCTCCTACAGTGAAACTCCAGTAATTGGGGTTCAGCAATGCTGCACCTCACTTTGCTGGCACAGGGGAGCTCTGCCCACTCTGGAGAATAATACAACATAAGGAAACCATTCCCAGATGATATTAGGAAGTAATAAACTCTTTAACATCCTTAATCAATTGTGGTTAAGTAGAGAGGAAGAAATGAGTTCCTGCTCCCAGTCAGCAGAAGATCTGGATGGAGGACAGCTGCCTGTGATGGGATTTGTGCTTTTGCCTTTCACTGACTGAAAATGGATGCATGTATGACACAGTAAAGATGGCCATTTACTGAACAAGGGCCAGCTAAAAAGGGAAATATTTCTGGATTTGAGATGCTGCTTTTTAGTGTCATCAAACTGTCATTTTCTCAAGGTCAGAGGGAACATTTCCAGCTCTCTCTCTCTTTTTTTTTTTTTTTTTGAGGCAAAACTGCTTGCAAAATGAGTTCATAATCTCCAGATCAGCATCACTAAGAGGGAAAGGATCCAGGAGTTATAGCTGGAGGGTATGAACTTTCTTTCACCCCTTTTCCAAGGCATCTCCCAACAAAAAGGCAGGTCCTGACCCTGCAGAGATCTGTTTGTAAGGCTGGTGGAGACCTGCACATGAGCATTACACACCTCAAGGTCTTCCTGCAGATTTCAAGGGCAACACAACACCAGCAGGGATGG